TCGCAGAACTGTGGAGATTAAATAACCGAGCACGTCCTCAGAAGCATTTGCTTGTACTGCATCCAACACAAGGGTGGGCTCTGAGCAGCTTTCTTCTTTCAGTCTGGGCTGCTTTCATGGGCTTTCAGTGATGCACTGAATACAGCTAATCTGACGTTAATCCCATCTGGTGTATTTTCCCATGGAAGTGAACAAATATAATAATATCAAATTATATTTAATAAAAGAGCAAGCTATGGGCCTTTACATAATGAGGCCATCTCTGTTAAAATATTATACAATTTGTAAGAGCAAAAGGTCAGAAGCAACCCAAATCCCCATCAATGGGGTGCTGGATTTAATTATTATTATCACTCATCCACGTGGAGGAGTACTATGCAGCCACGGAAAGAGTGAGGTGGCCTCTACACATGCCTCTAGGATGATCACAGCTCTCTGTGGACAGAGCAAGGTGCACAGAAGTGCAAAGTGGGCACTACCGTTTATCCATGACAGGTGGGAAGTAGGAAGGCAGCCAGCTCTCTGTCCCCTGTTCATCTACATCTGTCATCTATCATTACCAATCAACTATCAACTACTTACCAGCTATCTATCATCTCTCTATCAGCGTCATCTGCTTCTATGTTAAAAATGAGCAGTGAGAAAATAATCCCTAAGTATTTTTGAATGAAACCTATAGGAGATGGAGACTGGAAGGACCTGGGGGGGTGGAAGCCTCTTTGTCTATGCCTCATTTAAAGATCTAACTTCGTAACCATGCACATATCTCACATACTTATGAAACAAAATTAACTTTAAAAACACAATCCCCAAATATCCCAAATAAAATACGGCAAATGAACCAAATGTGTGTCCATTTGCTGGCCTGACCAGCCAGCCGGGAGCTGTTCCAAGCGATTTTAAAACACGAGTGTTTGAAACTCCTCCTAGTGGAGAATATGCTAAGGACACAGTGAACTACAGAGAGGGAAGAACAGTGTTGGACCCTTCCAGTGAGTGGCCTGGGAGGGTTAAGATCTGAGGCTGGTGTGTGTTAAGCGATAAAGTGAATGTGATGTTCAAATTCTATCATTACGGGTCATGGGGATATGGATATTTTTGGTGTGAGAGATGGAATTAAGGAGCTCTGAATATAATAGGGAAATATCAGCACAAAAAAAAATCAGCAAAATTAATAAAAACTGATCATGCAAATGTGGTCTACATCAGGCTAGTTATCCATCATAATGTACAGACATATCTTGGGGGATTTTCTCTTCCTCCTCTGCACTGTCAGCCAACTAATTCTATGTAAACACAAAACTCCCATTTCTACCAATGTGATGTGTGTTTTGTTTAATGTAGTGAACCTTCAGGCCAGTCTAAGAACAAAAGATGAAATACATTATTCAGAGTTTACTTTTTAAGTTTCTTAAAATGCCACCCCACCTCCCAACTGGTCAGTTACTTCTATCCATGAGCAATGGTGAGATTATCATGATTTTTTTTCCTATTAACTTTAAAGGTCAGAAAAACATATTCACTTTTCTATAACATGTCATTTAAAAGTTATGAAACAACAGTAGGCCCAAGTGATGCATGCAACTAATAACATAAGTTCTGCAGAAATCAGCATTTACATGCTTTCCACTCCCCTCTGACTGGCCCGGAGGTCTAGAAGGTATGTGCAGTGAAGTCACGCCCATCCTCTCCCAGCCCATACTCGCATGCTCACTTACAGAGATACACGCAGTTTTCAAGCTTCAGAGAACACAGATGAAAGTGACTTTAATTAATGTAATTCTTTAAATTATTTTCAAACACAGCTCTGCTTCACAAGGACTCAACTCATTTGTACTCCAAAGCTTAAACAAATGATGTATTATGTTAAGTGCTCATTTTCAAGTTGTTGAGAGAACAGTTAATATTTAAAGACTGTGGCTCAAATATAAGACCTACCTAGTGGAAAGCAGGAAAAGATCAGGCATGACTGTTGAATACATGAAAAATATTATTAAATTTTTACAAAACTTGATCCCTCCCAAAGTCTAATGGACTTCTTTACCTGTGTGTGCACATGTGTGTGAACCCAAGCCAGCCTCCCAGCTCACTGGCCCCTGCCCCCCACCGAGAATGCTGGCAGCCAGATGCACCCCCACACCACCACCCACCACACGGAAGACCCACCCTCCTGAGAAGGGAGCTGAGCACCCGAGCTTGGTGAGTGCGGACAAGCCGGCACCAGGGGAGGACAGCGTGGATCGGCTGTCAATCCCCCAGGTGCTGAGGTGCAGCCCAGGTCAGAGGCCAAGGAGAGCCGCCTGCCTTCGTGCCAAAAGAATTCTACTTGCTCTACGCACAGGTTCTTTTTAACTCTATTAGATAGAAAATATCCATGTGCTTTTCTTCAAGATAGTACCAAGACTCAGATTACAGCTAAGGGTACACCTGTCACAGACATGCTTCAGACTTACTACTGATGCTCCTGACTTACAGCCAGCCCCAGTTACTTTTGTTTGCCTTCTGATCTGTCCTTAACTCCTCCCGGTTGTCACAGAAACCACAACTGACGGGCCATTCATCTCAGAGAGGAGGTATTTCAACAACCCATGGTTGCCCAGTGGACACCTGGAACGCTTAACTATAAAGAAATCAGTAGAAATGCACAAGCAATACAGTTCTTCTAATTTAAGGTGTTAACTTCTTGATTTGCAAAACAAAAGCCTTTGCAAGCAACCTCCATGATATTTGTATTACTTATTAAAAGTGTACTTTAGTATCAAAGACTTTTAATGCAATGTCAACCGTCTTGAATAAATATATATATATATTCTGTTTCCAACAAACGCAAACTACTTGCAGGGTGCCCAAGGCATGTGTCAGAGCAGTAGTTCTAAATATTTTAACCTGCAGCCTAATGGGGCCCAAATTCCCAGGGCTGTCCCCTTCACAATATGCAGGGGTGAGCGCTGTGGTCCCTCTGTGACAGATCCCTATTTCCTTCCTTCCACTGCCCCAGGGAAGGCCCAGAGCCGAATGGATACCACTAGCTGGCAGGGGCTCTTCCAGGCAGCTCAGAAGTGCAGGGAGAAGGGATGACCCACGCACCACGGATGGGCAAAAGAAATCGCAAATAGCCACAGCTCAGAGGTAGGAATTGAGAAACAGTCATTATGAAAATCATACATTTTTCTCTGCTAAACTAAGCAACATGAAACCAGAATGTAAAAAAGCCAAATCTTGTCATTTTTAAATGGTGAATTCTTCCCTTTCTGTAGGGATGCATCTTAGCAGTTTTTCCTTGGCTTTAGTAGACTGTAATAAATAAAATTATAAAAATGTGACTTCTTATAATTGTTTTCAGAACACACTATCATGTATTTATAAAGTGACATATCTTTTGTATTTAAATCTAAAACTCCCCATAAAGTCATCTGTGCTTACAGGCAAACACCAAGAACCCTAACTCACCTACCAGGCATTCTCACTGGGTGCCTTAGGCTTTGCTTACTCACAAAGTATTTGCTGCCCTCCTGGGAGGAGCTTGCTCTAAAATTAAACATAAACTCATCAATAAAGTATGATTTCATACAAGATTTTTTTAAGTATAAATTCCCTATTTTTCCCCAAAAATCTACCTGGGATAAAAGTATCAGTGAGGCACACATAAAAGCAGAGTTGGGCACAGGTAGAATAACTTAAATAAAGTAACACTGTAATTAAAAATTTTTTGAAAATATAAAACTGCAATAATAAATCATCAAATATAAATATTTCAGAAGACATTTCTACCTGTCCTCTAACTTACTAATGTTAAGCACACTTTTGTAAGGACAAACTATAGGAATATTAAAGATGAATGTTAACTGCACTATTTACAATAGCCATAGATATGGAAGCAACCTAAGTGTCCATCAGTAGATTAATGGATAAAGAAGATGTGGTACATATACACAATGGAATACCATTCAGCCATAAGAAGAAAACAAATCCTACCATTTGCAACAACATGGATGGAGCTAGAGGGTATTATGCTCAGTGAAATAAGCCAGGCAGAGAAAGACAAGTACCAGATGATTTCACTCATCTGTGGAGCATAAGAACAATGCAAAACTGAAGGAACAAAACAGCAGCAGACTCACAGAACCCAAGAAGGGACTAAAAGTTACCAAAGGGAAAGGGACTGGGGAGGGTGGGTGGGAGGGGTGGGAGAAAGAGAATAAGGGGCATTACGATTAGCACACATAATGAAGGCAGTATAGCACAGAGAAGACAAGTAGTGATTCTATAGCATCTTACTATGCTGAAGGACAGTGACTGTAATGGGGTATGTGGTGGGGACTTGATAATGGGGGGAATCTAGTAACCACAATGTTGCTCATGAAATTGTGTATTAATGATACCAAAATAAAAAAAATTAAACATAAAAGCTTCTGATACCTCAGTATCTAAGGGAACATTCCAAATAATCCAAAACATGATGGGTTCTGGACTAGAGGGAAATCGAGACATAGTTGGCAGCAGGAATTCACCTATATATCCATGTATAGGGTATCAACTACATGGAATGGACAGTTTAAGCAGAGGCCAGCCATTGAAAAGCATAGGCCAGTTTTGTCACCATACAAACTGAGAGGACATGAAACACACTCAACTTCTCAAGACCATCTTAACACCTTTCAAAATCCATTGGTTAAGCCACCAATGCTGCCTTTGGCTGGAATGCCACGACTCACGGCTTTGGACACTGTGACTTGGAAAATCACGTAGGGCCCGTGACTGGCTCCCACACCCTCCCACTCTCCCCCAAAGCGGTCTCCCACTAGGCACTGAGGTGACACCGTGTGTACTCCGGAGGCTGAGCGCCCACCCCCAATGCTCCACAGGGCACAAGATTCAAGGTGAGCGGCTGCACCCCGGGGGCCCCCTCTGAGGGCTCACCACCACGTGACACAGGACACACGACCTCCTGACCTCACAGGCCCAGAAGAAGTTCTCGTGATTTATTAACTTAGAATAACCAAGAAGGATTCACAGAGCTTGGTGGCCACAACAGCTTGATCTAAGTTCCGCCTGGACACAGCTGTGCACCTGGGATCAGCTAAAAAATTAAACACTTCCCATCAGTAAATAGTGATATATATGCAGAACCACCTGCAGTCAAGGACTTTGGCTGAGTGGCACTTTTTTTTGCTCCCCAGTTTCTTATATGCAAATTCATAGCAACTGTGTTAAGACACATGAACCAACTTTGCCACAGATAGGAACCCTTTTAAGACCAAATATGTCTACAGAAAACTCAGGAGTATATTTACTTTTTATTTAGAGTTCTCACTTATTATAACAAGAAGTATTATTATGCGTCTGTGCATTTTAATAACAGTGGTAGTATACCAGGGTCACCCAACCGAAATTAGGTTCTATAAAAACATTTGATGCATTCTTACTCAAGGCACAAACACAACTTTAAAAAAATAAAACTGTGATTTAAAAGGCCTTTATTTCATAGGAAGAGGAATAAAAGATAAATGTGAGCAGATATTTAATGTCTGGCTATTTTGCTTGGTCATTCGCACTTTGTACTCAGCAAATGCAAACAGAAATTATCAATGACTTTAAAAAAGAAATCTTATGAACCTTAGCTTTCTTGATGGTTCTGTGGCTACCTGGAGTACTTTTATTTGGAGAACGGAGACAATATTTTAGAAAATATACCAACCCTAGCCCAAGTTCATCTGATGAAACTATTATGTATAAAGTAGTTAATTATATACATAAATAACATAAAAATAATTATCATAAATTAAAAAGTCAAATAATCTCCCACTATTAATTCAACTTAGAAGTGAGAGATGGGAGTGTATAAATGAGCTGTGAGTGTGGACGGTATGAATGTGGAAGACCCCTTTCACGTGCTACATGGGTGAAGAACTCCCTTAGTTCATAAAGGCATATATTGCACAAAACAAATTCCAGCCCTATCCTCAAAATTCTGCTGTTTGGAATAAAGTGAAGTGCTGAGAAAGTTCATTTTGCATAACAAATCACCCTTATCCTCACTGGCAATGTAAGATTACTCTAGTCTCATTTACCCACTACCCATCAGTATTTCTTCCAGAAGGTCTCCCAAGAAACAGAGGATCCAAGATAAACAGTAATCAAGGAAAAAGCAGGCAAATTTATCATTTCATTCTGGACAGTGTTAAACGATGTCAGGAGACTAAAACATTAACCTCCTTTCCCTACACCCCTTTCCGTTTCCTGCCTGAGCAGCAGGAGGGCAGCCGAGAGCCCTGCCCTTCCACATACTGCCTCCGAAATGGTACATGTGTACGAATACACATGCCCCAGGGAAGCAGAGACTGCTAACCGGCATGTTCACTTATTAGAGGCATTAATGCTTCTACTGGTGAACTAACTTCCACTTTCATTACTGCCTAGCAGGAAACAATATCTTTAAATTTCAGAAAAACCTACAGTTTTCCACTGTAAAGAGCCAAAGTTCATTAAATATTTTTATAGAAAATTGGTCTTGAAACACATCAACCTTTGGAACTAAATTTAAACATTAAAAAAACATGAATTTCTTCCCTGTTCTTCAGTAGAGGGGATTTGGCTAGCCTCAGCCATAATAAATACATTTGGATTGCAGAGGGTCCTGAGACAACTTCGAAGGGGCCACCAGAAGGGACACGAGGCTTACTCGTTGCACACCACTGTGCCCCTTTGCATTTGGGCAGTTGTGTAGAATTGGACCTGGACCAATGGTCCTACAGTGCAAACGACTTTAGCATGTTAAAACAAAATAAAAAACAACATGGCTACAACAGACTCCTGAACACATAACATATGCACAAAATTAAGTAAAAAGCTTTTAAAACGACAATGAAAATCAACTCACACATTACTAAGAGGCCTTTTGTGCCTCAGTCAGCAACTCCGCACCGTCCCTTGGCCCTGCTGACCTTGGAGGCAGAGGAGCACACATTCCCAGCACACCTCACACGTGGTTTCAGCCCAAAGTTGTAAAACGAATTTGACTTAACTCAGATTCCAAAGAAGAATATAAACGTTCCTTTAACTTCTACCTGCTCATTCCCCAAATACATCCAGAAGCAAGGAGAAACTGCTTCACTGAGCAATGGCCACCCATGAACACTGTTTTAACACAGTAACTGAACTCTAAAGGAAAAAATAAAGCAGACGCTTATGTTCCTAATCATGTATCTCTTGCCTCTTATGATCCTGCTTCTCTTTATGTTTCACTTTCCAAATCCTGGGTCTGCCTAACCAGGGTTTGGTAGGGGAGGCAGAGGTGTGCCATGGCCCAGGACGCCTGCTTCACTAAGACATGGCACGGGCCCCACCCCCATGAGCAGCTAGCCTGTGGAGTTAAGCTGACAGACTAATGGCTGCCAGGTGTCTGGGAGGGAATTCTGCAAAAGCTCAGTCACCCTTACTTACATTGTGATGCAAGGTTTTTCCTTTGTTTGGTATCCAGCAAACAGACCTCAAAAATAAACAGAAAACCTGTCTGTGGTTCTCTCTCCAGTGCTCCTCAGGGAGCCTCAATAGCTGTACATCTGCTGCGGCTGCTGCTCGGTTGGCACCTGGGGCTGTGGGGCCTGCAGCTGGGGGGCCTGCGGCTGTGGGGGTGGCAGTACGTCAGTCTGGGGTACCGCCCTCCATGTGAGCGGGTGCTGGTCACCCAGCTGGTTCCCCAGGGGGGTGATGGAGTTGACCAGCGTGGTCAGATTGATGAAGTGGGCCACGGACTGAGGGTTCGAGGCTTCTGGCTGGGGGTGGAGCTGGATGTCGTTCTGGCGATTGTGCAACATGGCAGAGCCACTGACGGTGTCAAAGGTCACGGTCAGGATCGAGTTGTCCAGCTGCAGCTGGCGTTCTGGGGTGGTTAGGTGCCCAACGGCCACCGGATGGAGATTGGCAAACTGGGTCCCAGCTGCAGTAGTGATGGGGGTCACGGTGATGTTGGTCAAGCCAACCGAGCTTGATGGAGTGGTCACATTTGGGTCACCCAGAGTCACCACCACCTGCAAGAGTCACACACAACAGAAAACAGTTAATAGTTTCTGCAAAATGGAGAACGAAAGAACCTTCCCAGGCCGCACTCTGTGACAGGCACTGTGTTACTGCACTGGGAGGGTCACATGCTCAGCCCAAAGGAAGAGACGCAAGACATCTTCTGGTGAATGGCTAAACCAAGTTAACTCTGTCCTGGAAAAATTATGAAAAGGAGAAACAAGTCACACACAGTCACAGAGACTACTTAGCTAGAACTGAGAAACAGTGACTTCACTGGCCAGAGGAAAAGGAAGGAAGTAGTCATGAGAGACAGACAGCGGATTCTTCATCTTCCATCCCCCCTCTAAAGCACCTTGCCGGTGGCGAAGGAAAACCCCAACTCTGAAGCTAAAACAGGGCATTAAACAAATTCACAGTAGCAATGGTCGACAAATAGAAATAAAAGCAGCATTCCTTCCCATGGGGAGGGATGGAAAGGCAAATAAATGCAAGAAATGTTTGCAATTAAGATCACCCATCTCCAAATTCGGGCCAGGTGTGCAGTGATAAGACACATGGATTAAAGATCTTGGGGCCTCAAAAACCCAAAGTGCTGAAGTTGAGCAAACTAGAAGCTTCTGTTAAAAGCAGCAGATAGACTGGCCATATGCATCCCTCCCTTGCCCCAAGCCACCCTGGCCGGGTCATTTGGTGTAACCTGACCCCACCTGTCAGCAATGTACCCTACCTCCACAATAAAGGGACACACCTCGGCTATTCATAATCTCCCAAACTAGAGACAACCCAGTTCCCAGCCAGGGGGCACAGCTGTCCTTAACGTGCTACAATGTCATGCTGTTATTCACAGCGACAAGTGTGATCTCCCTCTAAATCAGTTAAGTGTCAGGTGCGCGAGGCTAAGGGAAATGACGGGCACATGCTGTCTGCAGCCAGGGTCCGCCCACGCGCTGCACACGCGGCAGGCAGATGCGCAGGGTTCACGGGCCCAGGCCGCAGCCTCCTGGGGGTGCCCAGGCCCCTGCTGGCCACCTGCTGGATGCTCTGCACAGCAGAGTCGGTCTCGTCCCCCACGCCGCCCGGGAACGCAGGCTCCTTCTCTGGGTACTCGCTGAAGGTGGCATCCTCGGCCCCCGGCGCCCCTGCCTCCTCCTCCGGCTTCTGCTCCCGCTTGTGAACTCTCCGGGGGGCTTTCACGTGCTTCCCCTCAGCCAACTCCTCCTGCTCCAGGCTCAGTTCAGGCTGCAGGAAAACAGGTTTCAGTGACACCAAGGTCAAGGGGCAGTGTCCCCATGGTGGCCAGTGCGCTCCCAGCATCCTCCCGGGCACACGCCTGGCCGGCAGCGAGGCCCTTGAGCACTGGGAAGTGGTGGCCCCAGCTTCTGTGCTCACTTGCATTTCTAAGGATTGGGATAAGCTCCGGTTGGTTTCACTTTTTTTAAAAAGTGAAGGAAATGACATACAAGTCATATTTTTAACAGCCTTACCTAGTGCTGAAATACAAACATCTCTAAAGACAAGTTTAAGCTACTGCGCCAGCCCTGGTGAGCTCAGCCTGCAGCTGGGAACACTCACGTCAGGGCTCCCAGGGAACAGGCTGAGACAGACGCCCTACAGAAACAAGCTTGGATCAACACGGGCCTGACCACAGGAGCTGTATGCTTGCCTCCTTCGGGGACGGCAAGGACCCGGCTGTAGAGGCAACCACCGATGGGTACCCCGCCACACCGAGGCCAACTCCGTGGCTGGGCTTACTCAGCCTCAGAGGCCACTGGGCAGTGGTGGCCAGTGAGGCTTTCCACCCTGGTCTCCCACTACCACTCCTGGGCCTCCAGGGACATCCCATGTGACTTGGTCCCACCCCAGTGGGCATCAGACCCAGAGGAAGCCTGCCAGAGCAGGGCCATGATGGGCCTGCCCTCACCAGAGCTGGCTGTGGGCCTCTGGGGCACGGCAGGGAGGTGGGCCACTCCACACGGCCCAGCACCGAAGCACAGCACTCAAAGCACCATTTCAAAACACAGGTATAAACACCATTTTAAAGGAAGAGAGCATGAAGTATTCCTTTTATAATAAAAGGCCATGTTTATTAAGGTATTGACTACCCATCACCTTAAAGAGTAAGCTCACCTAATATGTTTTAGGTACTTTGCTTGTGCCTTAACTGTGCCAAGCTTTTGTGGAAACCATCTGTGAGGGTAAATTTTACGTGTCAATGTGGCCAGGCCACGGTGCCCAGATGTTTGGTCAAACAACCAGCCAAGATGTTGCTGTGAAGATACTTTTTCGATGTGGTTAACCTTTAAATCAGTATACTCTGAGTAAAGCAGATCTCCTTCTCTGATGTCGGTGGGCCTCAGCCCAGCAGGTGAGGGCCTTAAGGAAGAAGACTGAAGTCCCCGAGGAGGAGGCAGCGCGGCCCCCAGTAAGGTACGCCAGCTCCTCCCTGGTCTCCGGCCTGCCAGCCCGCCCTGCGGACTTTGAACATACCATCCCCACAACTGCATGAGCCAGTTCCTCAAAGCAAACCTGACCCTCTCTGCACACACACCCTCCTAATGATCCCGTTTTCTCTGGAGAACTCTTAATATTCCACTATTCTCCACAGTGCGATACATCAATGTTCAGAAAACTGAAGTCCTAGAAACTTTACAGAAACCAGGAGATGTTCCAAACTACTGTGCGGAATAAGACCAACCCAAATCACAGAGAACGAATTGACCGTGAAATGTGAGGTGGAGATCCTTACACCACCTGCATGCGCCCCGACCCCCCAGCCCCTCCGCAGATGTCTGTTCACCTGGAAGGTCCTGAGCCCCTGCAGGGCCGGCTCTGCGCTCACCTGGACGATGCCGATGGAGGAGGCATCGATGGTGGTGGTCTCTGGGAGGTGGTCCAGGTCATCGATCCTCACAGCCAGGACCTACGAGCAAGCAGAGCCTACCATGAGCCAGGAATGCGGGCCACCTGCTGACCTGTTAGTCCCGCAAAGGCACCCAGTGGTTCTGGCCTGGCCCTGCTCAGGACTGGCTTTGCAACCTTGGTTCCAGAACCCTATCCAGGCTCATCCTTTTTCATCCTCATCCATCTCCCTCCTTTCGAGTTTGTGCAAAAGTCTTGCACACAGTGGGTATCATCCCACATCTGTCCTGCCCCTCACATCTACTGCCCCCGAGGGTGGAGTCTATTGTCTGCCTCTTTTGCTCATACGAATGTGCTTTCAGTCAATGAATTTGCAGTGTATCTTCTTATTTCAAGCCATGAACGCATAAGATACAGCATGGTGAACCTCTCCTACAAGGAATCACCAAAAACGAGATACCCATACTTTAAACACTTCACTTTTTTACTTGACAAGTAAAGATACTTTCACTTGTCAGTTTTGTGATACAGTGACCCCTGCCCCACCAAACCACACTGAACGGTCCCCAGCGTGCCGACCTCACACTGAGACTCACGTGGTCCCTCCCACCAGGTCAGAGTGTCTTGATTCTCATCCACAAACCTAATGCCACTTGTACCTGTCACTGTGTCCACCTAAGTTAGATCATGAGCAGGACGGCAGAAGGAGTACAGAGAACCGAATGCCCGGGAAGGTGTAATAACAGCGAGCTGAGAGTGCAGGGGAATCAGCTGTCTGTAAGGGTTCTTCACCCAGACGGCTTTGCAAACGTCAAATGTTTGCCAAATAAACACCACAAAAGGGAAATACAGACTATATGCGTAGACACGGCTTACTTAGAAAGATGGCAGAACAGCGCCTGGGGACTTAGTTCAAAGACCATTGTTGCCCCTTTCCAGGGACGGAGAACAAGGGCGTGCCTGTTTACTACAGCGCTGATGCTGACAGCAGCACTGAACAGCCCAGTGCGACTCTTGTCAGCCCGGAGTCCAGATCTGTGATGCTCACAAGGACTCTTGAGTAAAAGCCAGCTGCCACTGATGCGACCTCTGCCACTGTCACTACCACCTCCACATCGTAACCACAACAGTCTCATCACCTCCTCCACCACCATCACCCCCCAGGATAGGCTGTGTCTAACTGACATTCTTATCCAGCCATGTGGCAGCGTCCACACATCACTGCAGGGCCCACCAACTCCCTCCTCGCCCCTCCCTCTGCCACGTCCCCTGCTGTCTCGGAGCCTCCTCCACATCCTCTGTTCTGTAGTTACCTTCCCTCCCGTCTGCCTCCTATTCTGTCTCGGGAGACCATCAAGTCCAGGAGAGTGGGGATGCACTGTCCCCCCGCTCCCAAGCGCTCTGCACCAGCAGGCCCCCGAGATGCATCTTTTTGCACACCACAGAATGAAAGGACAGCGCTCCAAAGGCACGGCCCGAGGAGGGCGGGCTAAAGGCCCCGAGCATGGAGCTGGTGGCAGCGTAGCCCCGCAGCACCTCCCCGTTCTGTGTGCTGGCCATCCCCAGCAGGGGGCTCCTTCTGCCTGGGGGGGGGGAGCCTGAGTGGGCCACGCTGCCCTGGTCTGAGAAGCAGGTGTGATGGGGTGACCCGGCAGAGTGATCAGTGAGAAGCGAAATCCGGGTAAGGACTCACTGGGCCCAAGCGATTGCTGAGCACCTGTGCGTGAGCAGGGCCTCCCTCTGCACCCAGCAGTGCAGTCACACCCTGTCTGCAGAAACTGCCCTGCCTGCTTTTTGCTGAAACACAGAACTAGAGAAGCCCCTGAGTGACAGAGAAATCACTGACTCCAGCCTCTCAGGAGCCTGCAGCGTCTGCTTGGGACCTGAGGCGTGGAAGGTGCCATGTTTGCCGAGGCTGGGCAGCAGCATGGACTCTGGCACCAGGCTCCTGCTCCCCAACCCGGTTTTTCTAGGTGGAAACACTGGCTGGTTGCGAGGTGGAAAAGGAAGCAAGCTGAGCTCAGCCGGCAGATCCCACTGCCTGAGCCCAGTGGGGACAGCCGGGAGGACTCAGGCCGGGGACCTGAGTGGGCTGCAGAGGAGAACACATCAAGGTTCCAGAAGGAAGGGACACACTTATTATATCCAAATTAAGGCAGACTGTGCTTTGATAATTGCAAAAGTAATGCATGCTCATGAAAACAAATTATTAAAAATGAAGAAAAATCCAAAGGTAAGAAATTACATTTAACTTCAACACAAGAAGCCCCCTGTATTCTTTCTTCATGTGTTTCATTTATATCACCTAGGCGAGCATTACACACACAGACCACAGGTCTGATGTATATCATACATGCACATGCAATACACATGTGCATGCTTTCTCACAATGGGTATTCACAATTTTAATTTTGTGAACAAGTTTATCTCTGTGAACACATTTATATAGTTGAGCATACTGCTAAACTATTACTTAATGTAATCACATTCCTCTTGCCGGAAATCCCTAAAGCACTGGGCAGACACCGCCATGCTTTCCTGGAGGACGTCCAACGGCTGGAGCGCACAACTCATGCCAGCCAGCATGATTGCTTTTAATCTAACACCTCCTACTAATTCAACAAAAGACGGCACCTTCTGTTAACACAAACTTCTGGGAATCCGTGAGGCTGCAGGCTACTTTCTAGGCTTCAACCATGCATACTTCCTCTTCTCTGAACTGTTTCCCCTGTGTGCACGGGGCTCTTCGTGTTCTTTGCCCTGAATGGTTATCGTTTTCAATGTTAAGTTCAGGCCTCTGCATGACGGCGACCTCCACGTGTCTCACTTTGACCTCTGCTTACCCTCTGGACCCACAGAAGCACTCGGGGTTCCATGACCACACCTGTGATGCTGTTCATGGCCTCTTTCATGGCTTTTTCACTTGGAAAGACTTCCTCTACCTGCATTTTTTCTAGTTTTTTTCACTTTGCTTCTTTTTAAAGCACACTGAGTGCAGCCTGGAGAATACAGCCAATGGTTCTGCAACATCTTCCTATGTTGACAGATAGTAACCACACTAGTGGGGGTGAGGATTTAATAATGTGGGTAAGTGGTGGACCACTGCATTGGATACTTGAAACCAATATAAGATTATGCAAAAAAAAAAAAAAAAGATTGTGCATCAACTATACTTCAATAAAAAGAAGAAAACTAGATAGATAAATAAATAAATAAATAATGCCCTTCCTTTAGAACAGGCTTCAGGCCAAGCCAGGGTGTAATTACCTCTGTGCGGTCTGTCGCTCTCAGCCCTCAAGGCCACCCTCGGCCTGCAACCCCATGTGGAGGCTCCCCGCTCTGCTCACTTTACTAGTACTCCAAAGCAGATGGCAGGCAGGGCTGTGCCGACCTTCTGCCATCTGAGCGACAATTTAATTTGTATTATTAGCAGAACTATGTTGGAGGCCCGTCTGGTGCCTCCTGGCTGCAGGTGCTGCTGTTCGGGGCTGAGCGAATGCAGGACCCGGGTCCTGCCTCAGGGAATCCCAGGTCTGCAAAGGGAGATGGATCCTGAGCCAGCGCCTGGGGCCTGAGCAGTAGATGCTGGCGCCGGCTTGAGGGCCAGGAGAGGATGCCGCGCCCACCCCAGGCTTACCTCCGGGTGCTTGCGCCGCATGTGTCTGCTCATGGAGGCCCTGGTGGACACCTTGGTCCCACACAGCTGGCAGCTCTGCGCCTCTACCTTGTCGTGGGTAAGCTGCACATGCTTCTGCAGCATGTACTCGGTGACATATTTCTTGTCGCACACGGAGCACGTCCACTGCTTGCCCACTTCCCACACACACAAGGAGGAAAAGACAAGCACGGGTCATGAGCAGGGTGGTCCACAGCCCGCAGAACAGGCGAGGAGGGGGCCTCCCCTCTGTACGTGCTGGAAGGGCTGCCCACCAGGTTGGGCCATAGGAACACGCAGCTTGGGCAGAGAAAGCAGGAGAGGGGCCTCCTCCCGCGTGGAGCACCAAGCCAAGCCTGCTGCTCCAATACTTGCAAATTCAAGAGTGGATATTCGAAAGCTGTGGTGGGCTGACTTTGAGGGGGTAAGGGGCCACCATCAAGGCAGGATGGCACAAAGTGTTCTGAAAGAGGCTGCAGCAGAGAAGAGCAGCACAGCTGTCCCCATCCTGCACACTAGAGACTGCCGTGCAGCCCAGAACACTCTCTTGCTGCCCCCTGCTTACCTGTGTGGATGAGCTTGTGCGTCTCCATCGTGTTTCTCTCACTAAAAGTCTTTCCACACAATTCACACATGAAGTCTTTAATCCCTGCAGAAAAAGGTGTCTCCTAAGTGTTTTAATTTTACACACCAGATAGCATATTGTCCCTGACAGGCTCCAGTGTCTACAGAAGCTGCAGAAGGGAAACTGCCGAGAGACAGCAGGCAGAAACACACACTCAACCAGAAAACCATGCTTGAGAAATATATTCAACTTGAGAATCTGACCCTGCTGCAGATGGCTTAGCAAGCAGCTTCCTCAGAAAGGGAGCACGGCCAGATCCAGCCGAGCGCCCTGGGGACGGCCATAGAGCGGGAACTAGAATCCCAATCAGTGAGCTTTACTCTGCATTAGCTCAGGAGGAGGAGAGAGAAAAGCCTCATTTATGGAACTTCTAAGGTTTCGTCAGCTTCGTTCCTGTCTTGAGAGTTGAGAACGATCACTGGGTCTGGGATGAACATCCTGCCTGCTGGTCACCCGGCAGGCACACATGGAGCTCAGCAGCCTCCTTCACTCCCCAACCTGATGAGAAATAGGGCCTCTGGGGTGTTTTTTTTTTTTTTTGGCATCATTATGAGCATCATTATGGTTACTAGACTCCCCCCATCATCAAGTCCCCACCACATACCCTATTACAGTCACTGTCCATCAGTGTAGTAAGATGCTATAGTCACTACTTGTTTTCTCTGTGTTGTACAGCCCTCCCCGTGCCCCCCCCACATTATGTGTGCTAATCGTAATGCCCCCTTTCTCCCCCCCACCTTATCCCTCCCTTCCCACCTGTCCTCCCCAGTCCCTTTCCCTTTGGTAACTGTTAGTCCATTCTTGGGTTCTGTGATTCTGCTGCTGTTTTGTTCCTTCAGTTTTTGCTTTGTTCTTATGCTCCACAGATGAGTGAACTCATTTGGTATTTGTCTTTCTCCGCCTGGCTTATTTCACTGAGCATAATACCCTCTAGCTCCATCCATGTTGTCATGAATGGTAGGAACTGTTTTTTTCTTATGGCTGAGTAATATTCCATTGTGTATATGTACCACATCTTCTTTACCCATTCATCTACCAATGAACACTTAGGTTGCTTCCATTTCTTGGCTATTATAAATAATGCTGCAATAAACATAGGGGTGCATATGTCTTTTTCAAACTGGGCTGCTGCATTCTTAGGGTAAATTCCTAGGAGTGGAATTCCTGGGTCAAATGGTATTTCTATTTTAGCTTTTTGAGGAACCTCCATACTGCTTTCCACAATGGTTGAACTAATTTACATTCCCACCAGCAGTGTAGGAGGGTTCCCCTTTCTCCACAAACTCTCCAACATTTGTTGTTGTTTTATCTTTTGGATGGTGGCGATCCTTACTGGTGTGAGGTGATATCTCATTGTGGTTTTAATTTGCATTTCTCTGATGATTAGCAATGTGGAGCATCTTTTCATGTGTCTGTTGGCCAGCTGAATTTCTTCTTACCTTGGGGTGCTTTTTAAACAAAGATTTTCCCCCCAAGTAGAAACACACTTGTGGAAACAAGGTAAGTGATTTTAAAGGTCCACTGAACTCAGGCCTGTATGTATCAAGCCCCTTGTACACACAGGGCCCTGTCCTCATTGTGACTTGAGAGGGACAGATTGGGACAGAGGCCACTCCACCCCAGGGGTGGGTGTGGTGGCAGGCAGAGTGTCACAGGACCTAGAGGCGGCACATGACCTAGAAAAGGTGAAGCAAGTAAGGGGAGTGCTTCTGCACGAAAAGGAGGCTGGCACACGGCCCTGACAGCCTAGACTGGCGGCCAGCAGTCAAGGGCACCTGTCCCAGACCCGTGTGGCAGCCTGGGTGGCTAACCTGCCTTGTTTCCACTTTGAGGGAAAATCTTTGTTTAAAAGGCACTCCAAGGGTCCACCTTCTTGTCAGTCTGGGGACTGAAGCAGGCTGATAGCTTGATGCTTGCTTGCCAGGTCGCCCGCAGAGGGGGCACAGGCAGCTGGGCCCGAACCCACTGAGGGCAGACACGGGAACCGATGCAGAGGTTCACGCCAGAAACTGCCACTCAGACATACTCCAAACGGGACGATCTTCCTCCGACTCTGACGCTCCTGTCATTCTTACACGCACACACATTTATCTGTAACCAGTTTTACGAAACACAAACTCACATTTGTCATTGCAGGGGCTGTTTTTTCTCCTATTGTATCATGAACTCCTGAGTAAATTAATACATCAATCTCATCACTTTTAATGGCTATGTGGTTCCTTCCTGTGGATGCACGGCAGTTTGGCCCTGCCCAACCCAAGTGTTTTGCTGTGTCTACCACTCCAGATAAGACGTGACAACCAGCCTGGACACTCATCTCTGGGCCCTTGTCTGGCCGTTTCTCAGGCGCACTTCCCTGCAGGGAAATGACTGAGTGCAGGGCAAGGACTCTGAGAACTGGCCGGTTGCACCAAATGCCCAGTGGCAAGTAGCACAGTAACCTGGGCCCTGTGCGCAGGGGCGTGTGTGCACAGGGGTGCGTGCGACAGAGCATTTGCAGGGGAAGTTTTCTGAGACCAGCTGCTCCCCACCCCTCCTGGAAGAAAAGACCCAGGGCTCAGTGGGAGCTCAGACCGTGAAAAGCAGCGAGGGGCCTGCTTCCTGCAGGCGAGCGTGGACTCACCCGTGTGCCGCTTATAGTGCTTGAGCATGTTGACCTTCTGCGCGAACCTGCGGTGGCACTCCCTGCACTCAAACTCCTTGATGCCCTTGTGCAGCTTCATGTGGTGGCGCAGCGCATGCTTCGTCTTCATGCCTGCTGTTCAGAAGCAGGTGAGCAGACCTGCTGGCCAGCATCGCCCCCTCCAGAGCCACCCAGTGCCCACAGCTCATCATGCCTGTACCTAGGCCCCCCACACTGCTTGCACCGCCCAGCCCTGGGCCCAGAGCCCACTCCACTGCCTGTGGCTCACCCTGCACCTGGGCCCCCACACTGCCTGCACTCCACCCTGCACCCTGCCCCTCAGGCACAGATCTGAGTGCAGAACCAGCAGAGGTTCTGCGTGGGGCTTGGTTAGGGCGTGGGGCTTATCACCAGCAGCCTCCAGCAGTTGTGCCCTCAAAAGCTGCCCCTAGGGGGGTTTGCTGTGATGTCCAGAGAGCTCCCATCTCTGGGGCCCACCCATCCTGTCAGCGCTCACAGAAACAGGAGCTCTCAGTAAATGTTCGCAGTTTACCACTGTGACCCAACCGAGTCATCTGGCAGGAGACGTGCAAGTGTGCTGAGGGTTCCTGCTGATCGTGATAATGTAAACGTCATTAAGATCTGGCGTAAGTCCACTGGAAGTTACACACTCTGTGGTCTAAGCATGGGTGTTCAGTCTGCTTTGGTTTAATGTAACAAAGCCAATCTCTGCATAAGCTCCACTGAGTTAGTGAAACTCAGGCCAGTGGAGAAGGGTTGACCCTGGTATATGGTGTGAATTAATGGCCATGGCCTCGGCCCAGGGTCACCCTGGTGGGCAATGCTGAGTAGTAAGGACAAGCATGGAGGCTGTGGGGGCAGTGGGCCCGGGGCACCGCGGAGCAGGGCAACCCCCAGGCACAGGGCAGACTGGGTCCCAAAGGCAGTGGACGGGTCACCGCTAACTGCCACCAGGCCAGAAAATGACCTGGCACCTAGGTGGGGAGTGGGCAGAGTCAGACGCCACATGGCTCCCGGCCCACAGGGCCCTGGCCCCCAACAACCCCAGGCCCAGTTGTGCTGAGAAGCCCTGAGAACTGGCCCGGCTGAACCAGCAGAGGGGCTGGAGTATCTGAAAAGGCCACCTGCCTCCTGCAGAAAGGTGTTACTAGGCTACAGGACACGGAGGATGCAGTGGGCCTGGCACCAACTTCAGAACAGGATTTTTCCCTTACAAATTTACTTCTACTAATCTTTTCAACTAAAAAGTCACAGTGAAAAAACCACAGCCAATAAAGTTACCTGGAGGGGGCGCCAGCAGCCCCGCCCAAACAGCCATGCTGCACCAGGAAATGTGCTCCTGTGTGTGTCCTGGCCACACACCCTGGGGAGCCTCACACCTCCCAGGCCCTCTGCCACCCAACCACCTCTATCTGCATGACCATGAGACACATGCCTCACTGTCAGGCCTGGCCGGTACAAACCTGAGCACATCGCTCTCAGCAGTAAGACACTCATGGCTTGTATTTGTCAGCAACAGATACCTGAGCTCCTAACATGAGCTCCACTCTGTTTCCGATGCCAGAGACTGAGCAGTGAGACACACCAAGTACCCAGCTTCCCAGGAAAAGGCACCAACAAGTCAAGTCCCCTGGGAAGGGGCAAAGAAAGCAGGATAAAACAAGGATGAGGGGTGGAGGGGTGGAGGCAGTCAGACTGCTGGCTCATCATGAGGGTCACGGGATCGTCTTAGAGGATGCATCTGAAAAAGTGACCTGAAGACGTGTGGGACAGGCAGACAGCTACCTGGGGAAACAGCATTCCTGGTGGAGGAATGGTCAGTGCAAAGGCCCTGAGGCCAGTTCTGTTAATCCCTTGGTGTTGCAAGCTGTCCCGTGCCCAGTGGGTATGTGAACAGAAGGGTGCTGCTCCTTAATGTCCTGCCTCAAACCAGCACCCTTCCCACAAGCATCTAACGTGAATGGTTCTAGATCACAAATACACAGCCATCAAAAAATGGAAAATGCACAGAAGACACAGCAAAGCTCACCCCCCATTCCAGCCTCCTCATCACAACCAGTGTGACAATTATGTCCCCGTCAATTTTAACACTATCTGTGAACTGTTTTAAACTAAACATGCCTGCCACATGGTGGAAATTTTAAGCCTCTGTGAGAATTTTGATTGAATTTGTGTCACATTTACAATTTACTTTGGGAAAAACTGGTATTTTTAATCAGTTAGAATCCCCAAACCTGGAACAAGGCCTGAGTCTCTCCGGGCCTGGTGGTTTTCTTCTCTTTTCTTTTTTTAAAGATATGAAGATTATTTTTTTTTATTAAGGTATCATTGATATACACTCTTATGAAGGTTTCACATGAAAAACAATGTGGTTGCTACATTCACCCCTATTATTGAGTCCCCCCTGTACCCCATTGCAGTCACTGTCCATCAGTGTAATAAGATGCCACAGATTCACTGTTTGCCTTCTCTGTGCTACACTGTCTTCCCTGTGATCCCCCTACACCATGTATACTAATCATAATACCCCTCAATCCCCTTCTCCCTCCCTCCCCACCCGCCATCCCCCACCCCTCCCCTTTGGTAACTGCTAGTCCCTTCTTGGAGTCTGTGAGTCTGCTGCTGTTTTGTTCCTTCAGTTTTGCTTCATTGTTATACTCCACAAATGAGGGAAATCATTTGGCACTTGTCTTTCTCTGCCTGGCTTATTTCACTGAGCTTAATACCCTCTAGCTCCATCCATATTGTTGCAAATGGTAGGATTTGTTTCTTTCTTATGGCTGAATAGTATTCCATTGTATATATGTACCACATCTTCTTTATCCACTCATCTGCTGATGGACACTTAGGTTGCTTCCATTTCTTGGCTATTGTAAATAGTGCTGCAATAAACATAGGGGTGCAGATGTCTTTTTGAATCTGAGAACTTGTTTTCTTTGGATAAATTCCTAGGAGTGGAATTTCTGGGTCAAATGGTTTTTCTATTTTTAATTTTTTGAGGAATCTCCATACTGCTTTCCACAATGGTTGAACTAGTTTACATTCCCACCAGCAGTGTAGGAGGGTTCCCCTTTCTCCGCATCCTCACCAGCATTTGCTGTTCCTAGTCTTTTCTATGTTGGCCATCCTAACTGGTGTGAGGTAATATCTCATTGTGGTTTTAATTTGTATTTCCCTTTTAATTAGTGATGTGGAGCATCTTTTCATGTGCCTGTTAACCATCTGAATTTCTTCTTTGGAGAATTGCCTGTTCAAATCCTCTGCTCATTTTTTAATTGGGTTGCTTTTGGGGTGTTGAGGTGAGTTCTTTAAATACTTTGGATGCTAACCCCTTGTCGGATATGTCATTTACAAATGTATTCTCCCATACTGTATGTGCCTTTTTGTTCTGCTGATGGTGTCCTTTGCTGTACAGAAGCTTTTTAGATTCATGTAGTCCCATTTGCTCATTTTTTATTTTGTTTCCCTTGCCCAAGGAGATATGTTCAGGAAAAGTTGCTCATGTTTATATTCAAGAGATTTTTGCCTTTGTTTTCTTCTAAGAAATTTATGGTTTCATGACTTACATTCAGGTCATCGATCCTTTTCAAGTTTACTTTTGTGTATGGGGTTAGACAATAATCCAGTTTCATTCTCTTCCATGTAGCTGTCCAGTTTTGCCAACACCAGTTGTTGAAGAGGCTGCCATTCCCCGATTGTATGTCCATGGCTCCTTTATCATTTATTAACTGACCATATATGTTTGGGTTTATATGTGGGCTTTCTAGTCTGTTCCATTGGTCTATGGGTCTGCTCTTGTGACAGTACAAAATTTGTCTTGATTACTGTGGCTTTGAAGTAGAGACTGAAGTCGGGAGCATAATCCCCCCAGCTTTCTTTTTCCTTCTCAGGATTGCTTTGGCTATTTGGTGTCTTTTGTGGTTCCATATGAATTTTAGAACTATTTGATCGAGTTTGTTGAAGAATGCTGTTGGTATTTTAATAGGGATTGTATTGAATCTGTAGATTGCTTTAGGCAGAATGGCCATTTTGACAATATTAATTCTTCCAATCCATGAGCATGGGATGTATTTCCACTTATTGGCATCTTCTTTAATTTCTCTCATGAGTGCCTTGTACTTTTCAGAGGGGAGGTCTTTCACTTCCTTCGTTAGGTTTATTCCTAGATATTTTATTCTTTTTGATGCAATTGTGAATAGAATTGTTCTCCTGATTACTCTTTCTGTAGTTCATCATTAGTGTATAGGAATCCACAATGCAACAGATTTGTGTATTAATTTTGTATCATACAACTTTGCTGAATTTAGACATTAATTCTAGTAGCTTTCAACTAGATTCCTAAGGGTTTTTTACGTACAATATCATGTCATCTGCAGTGACAGTTTAACTTCTTCCTTACCAATCTGGATGCCTTTTATTTCTTTGTGTTGTCTGATTGCTGTGGCTCAGACCTCCAGAACTATGCTGAATAACAGTGGGGAGAGAGGGCATCCTTGTCTTGTTCCCGATCTTAAAGAAAAACTTTCAGCTTCTCGCTGTTAAGTATGATGTTGGCTGTGGGTTTGTCATGTATGGCCTTTATTATGTTGAAGTACTTGCCATCTATAGCCATTTTAATGAGAGTTTTTATCATGAATGGATGTTGAATTTTGTCACATGCTTTTTCAGCATCTATGGAGATGATTGTGGTTTTTGTCCTTCTTTTTGTTGATGTGGTGGATGATGTTGATGGATTTTCAAATATTGTACCATCCTTGCATCCCTGGGATGATGATGATCTTTTTGATGTATTTTTGAATTTGGTTTGTTATTTTGTTGAGAATATTTGCATTTATGTTCATTAGGGATATTGGTCTGTAATTTTCTTTTTTTGTGGCGTCTTGGCCTGGTTTTGGTATTAGAGTGATGCTGGCCACATAGAATGAGTTTGGAAGTATTCCCTCCTCTTCTACTTTTTGGAATACTTTAAGGAGGATGGGTATTAGGTTTTCACTAAATGCATGATGAAAGTCAGTGGTGAAGCCATCTGGTCCAGGGATTTTGTTCTTAGGTAGTTTTATTACCAATTCAGTTTCATTGCTAGTAATTGGTCTGTTCAGATTTTTTGTTTCTTT